ACAGCAAGACAAGCTTAGAAATAATAAAAATTGACATCAAGACAAGCTTGGCAATAATAAAAATTGGCCTTTTATCTGTAAGGAAATGGGAAGTAGATGTGCACTTTCAGTGCATTGGAGAAATCTAAGAAGGATGAACAAATCACCAGGGATTTTGGGGTGATAATCATGAGTTTTGAAATCAGCTGCATGTAAATGTTTTCAGAGTACAAGACACCACACCATGGTCATCTGGATCCCAGTTTCCTGGGGTTTCACCACATGCTGGATCAGACCAGAGGCTGTCAGAATTACTGTCTTGCTTTCAGCAGTGACCAGTGTCTCTCTGACCAGTGGAGAAGCCCCCCAGCTTCTGTAGAAAAATATTTGTGAGATTGGGAAGCTTCACAGAGAGAGATTTTCCTTTCTGGCCACAGCAGGGATATTGCACAAGTTTTGGTTTACAGCACCTTACAGATGATATCAGCTGTATTTCTGCCCTGCCATTCATAACTTTGGCTGTCCTTGGCAATCCCTGCTGTGATCTTTCCATGAAGTTGTGACATAATTAAAGTAAATTCATGTGTTCTGTGATGCCCAGTTGCAAGTAACTAAACTCTCTTAAGAAACACTTTTTATTGAGAATACCTCCAACAGAACACATTCTCTCAAAAGACTTGCTTGCAGAATGTAGTTCTTGTCTGTTGGATCTGACAGGAATATGGCTATGGAGATCCCAGTGCTGGTGCCATGCCCACCACCCTGCCATTTCCAGACATTTTGTTGGCTCCTTTTTTTTCTGAAGAGGGTCTAAAATACCCCTTTTACCTGTCAAAGACCCCTTTTATCTGTCAAAGAGGTTGCCTCTCCCATGAAGGGAGTCTGAACACCTCAATTTTTGGCTGTCCTGTGGCAAATGGAGATGGAGATAAAATGAGGTTTTTTCCAGCCTTTGTCTCTTACACCTGGTTCAGGCAGCCAGCTGGAAATTGGAAAGAGTGGAATTTGCCATAGACTTGTGGAAATAATGATCAAAGACACAACTGTGATGACCTTTCTTAGCCAGGAAATCACGAGTCTGAACTGTGGGAATACAAGAGTCAGGCATGCAGGATTTAGTCCAGAACTGGCTGTGGATCCATCCTCATTGGAAGGAACTGCAGAAATGAACTTTCAATGAGTAGTTAGTGGTGATAACATGATTTCATAAAATTATGGTCAAAACCAGAGGTTCTCTCAAAATGTCCTGTCATCCAGTACACAGGTTGGATTTTTACAGCTGGGGATGGACTGGCTCATGTAGAATTAAATCTGCATGGAGTTATGATTTGTAACTGCAGAAATAGGGGAGAATTAATTGTGTCTTCATTGAAGAAAATAATGACTTGTGGTAAAATATAAGGTAGGTTAAATACAGAGGGTTCTGTGAATACTGAGATTTGGGTACCCAATAAAACCAAAGGGTCAGATACTGACCTGTTCTTCCTTCAATTTTATCAAGTTGCTCAGTGAGCAGCAGCATTAATGAAACGTGGATTCCTGTGGATTTGTGCCTGCACTTGAATTTATCGGTCTCTAACAAGAGGCAAAGATTGATTTAAGATTTTTCTTTGACTGGAATTGCACACACACACACACACACACACACACATACAGATATTGGTAATGGACCTGGCCGTGCTGAATTTGCAATTGGGCTCAATAATCTTGGAGGTCTTTCCAAACCTAAAAGATTCTATGATTCATATTCCTGTGCTGAGCATGGATGAATGAGCTTTTCTTGCTTAAAAGACAAAGGTAAAAAAAAGAAGTCAGTTAAGTAAAGGAAAATTCAAGGGGACAAAAGAAAATGTCGTCTAAAACCTGGTCAAGTTCCTAGTATGAATATTATGAATCTGATCTAACATTAAAAATTAAAAATACTAATATCTACCAAGATGTTTCTAGCGTCTTTTTTACCTCAGACTTTATGGGATTTAAAAGAAAAACAAACACACAACAATTTGTCAATAGCTTGGCTTTACGTTTTGTCCCTCTCAAGTTTCTTGTGGATTTGATCAATTCGTTGAATGCCTTATCAAATATTTTGAGACCCTCAGGTGCGAAGAAGTATAAAATCCATAGAAAACAACCATTAAATGCTATTTATCTGGCTGCAGCACATATCTTCTGCTGTGTGCTCTGTGTCCTGAAACAGGGATGGGGTGGGAACACCCAACTGAGTTCATGTCTGAGGCTGGGGAGGCTTTGCAGGAGGGTTGTCTGGTTTTGGACTGTGACCCTCTGGGGAGCACAGGGATGTGCAGAGCTCCCCTGAGTGCATCATCCCCAGGCTGTGCCCTTTGTGTCAAGGTGTGTTGTTGGAACCCAGGACATCCCTCTGGCTGTCCTGAGCAGCCCAGACCCTGGCACAGAGCCCAAAATGCCCCTGTGGGTTTGATTATGACTCATGGAGCAAATTACCAACCTTAGATGAAGATCTGCGGGCCACAACAGCTTAAGTAGATAGAGAATTTATCACAGGGTAAAAAAGTAGATTTTGGGGTTTTTGGTATGGGGATTCAGGGGGCAAGATGGAGGGATCTGGGTGTGTCCAGCCTTTCTTCTTCTTCTTCTTGGCCTCAATCTTCTGCTGTGATGTTGGCACTTTTGGATTGGTTTAGAGTAGAAGCTCACTGTCTAACATAGGTGATGGGTATTGGAAAGTAACTGTAATCATTGCGCAGGTAGTTTTTAGTATAAAGACATAACACTGCCCTGGGAGCAGGCAGAGTGCCTGGAACTGTCCTGCTGGATGGACTTCGGCAGGACAGGAGAAAGAATTTTATAGATAAGGAACAAAAACAACCTTTAGACTGAGAAATGAAGAGCTCTGACTCCTCCTTCATGTGCCAGGGTAGGAGAAGAGACTTTCTGACTTTTCTCAGGATGACTCTGACCAGCGAGAGATCCTGAGAGTGTGTGAGCAGAATTTCGGCCAGAGGTGATTCTATAAAGACAACCTTCCCAAATTTAACTTGCAGCCTTGGGTTGTGTCCCTGTGGGATGGGAAATTCAGAATTGCTGATGCTCCCAGCATCTCCAGCTTCTGGAGTGTGGTGGTGATGGGGTGGCAGCCATGGGGACAGCCCAGGTTTGGGGGGCTGGGGGTGTCTCCCCTTTTCCAAACTGGAGGTGCTGCCTAATGACAAAAGGAAAAAAGCCCTGCAACACTGCTGAAGTAGTAAGATAAAAAGCAATTCATTAATGAAAGCTGCAAAATAGGGTGCACAAATACGCCTCTGTGCACACGTGAAAAATTATTTTCCCATTTTTTTTAAGGTTAATTAATTAGTGTATCTGGCCAGTACAGCCAATAGGAAATCAGTTACCCCAGTAACCCACCCTCGGGCCAGCCCTTTGGAGTTGCTCCCGGGGCTTCTTTGCCCTATTTTCTTGTTATATCTTTTAAGTTCTGGTGGAAAACAAAATGTCCTTATGAGAAATTCTCTCCTTAAGTATAAGATTAAACAGAATTTCAAGAATGTGATAGAAAAGGGGTAGTTTATTATGAGAAAGGGCAAGAAAAGCACTAGAAGGTATACCCATATTAAAAATCTACAAGGCTGAAAATGTATGAAAATACATAAAAAAATCTTGAGGCATCAGTGGAGATGCAGGTATGGGGGGAAAGCCACTACACTGGGATGAGCTCCAGCAAACCCTTTGTTCCCAGGGGTGGTGGAATCCAGGGATATTTTATGTAATGCTCAGGTTTTACTCTGTGTCTTCTGCTGTTTGTAGAGAGGGCATCTTTCTGGGCAGGAAAACAAATTTTTAAAGTTGACATTTAGGCTTAAAGACTATTTGTAATGGATCTGAATAAATGCCTTGAGTGTAAAAGTAGATTTCACAAAATCTAAACTTCTATTTCTCCCATTGGTTGGCTTTTAAATATTTTAAAATCTGCTTTTCTGTAGAAAATCCAATAATCTCCAGATTATTTTTTTTTTCAAAATTCATGCTTATAAAGGAAAAAGATAGAATTACTGTTTTTTAAAATACATGTTCCACATCCAATAGAATAATGTTTGCAGAATGTGCAATCCAGTCACAGTTATAAACACTCTGAGTAGGGCATGTGTAGCTCATGCAAACTCAGTGTCACTTTTATGTTTAAATCACTATGCACACCTGAGTGAATGTCTGTTGTTGTCATAACCATTCTTTGGCTATTATGAGGAAAATTTGTAAAAATATCCCTTTTTTCCTCCACAAGAACTGCTGAAAAGAACATTTCCTGTAATTTTTATGCAGCAATGATTGTTAATAGTTACATTTTAATAGCTTTTTAGCAGCAGTGAATGGGACCATATAGTTCCATAGCTGTAGTCAAAATGAAATTGAAAACTAACAGTAAAAATAAAGAAAACATTGAAGATTACCATGGACTACAATTTAAAAACATCTGCTTTCCCCAGTGTCACCTGACACTCTCCCTCATTCCAGGGATGCTGGCTGGCTGTGTCCTGCAAAACAGAATCAGACCTGCCAGGAAGAAAAAATTCCTTCTCTCAAGCAAAAGAGTCATTATCAGCTTTGGGCACACATACAATTCAGCATTTAAAACTCAGTTTGCACGTTAATTTAATGTTGCTTTCAAGACATGTATCAAATAAAAATAAAAGATGCTGTCTTGCCCAGATGTGGTGAATAAATGAATGCTTTCTAAATTGTTAAGGAATTGGGGCTTATATTGAAGTTGTTTAGGAATTGGGGCTTATATTGGTATTTTGTGGTGTAGGAGGCTCCTTGCATTACCATAATTATTATTATTATTATTATTATTATTATTATTATTATACAGTTATTCTGTTTGATAACAAATTCTTTTCAGATGTCCACTTGGATTTCCCTCTGAAACGCCCAGGTAGAAATTCCTGTCACAAATAACTCTGCATCTGCTGTGTAACACAAGCAGGATTTCATTGTACTTTGCCACTGACAGCAGCCCTTTCTCCCTTGTGCTTTTGTCCTTTCAGAATCCAGTTTTTTGTTGGGAAACGCCCAGATTGTGGACTGGCCCGTAGTTTACAGTAATGACGGATTTTGCAAACTCTCTGGGTACCACCGAGCGGACGTCATGCAGAAGAGCAGCACCTGCAGGTATGCCCATTGCCTTTTTTCTGCCCCTTGGTGCACTTGGAAACTTTTAATCTGCTGGGAAGAATGGTGAGAGTTTGGGAGAAAGGATTGAGGTGAGAAAGGCATTGTTTTGTGGGTGTTGAAGTCTTAAAACGGGATTTAAATGAAACTGATACAGAATTTATACAGCTCACAACTGACACAGAACATGGTAAGGCACCTTGAAGTTTATCCTGGCTAGTATTGGTGAGAATATACTCTAGCTAATGATCCAGTAAAGAGAGTGGGGTTTTAGGCAATATAGTTCAAAGGCATTTTTGCTAGATTGTTCTGAGTTCTGCTGTTACATGCCAGGAGGCAGCGGGCTCTTTTGCAGCCCACGCTGGCCCCTATTATTAAGCATACACAGAGCCCAGTAATGCACAAAGTGCATCTTTATTCCCCAGAGAGTGATTAGGCTGCTGATATATTTACTCTAAGCATTGCAGCTTTATGGCTTTTTTCTTTTACTGGTGGTCTTTCAGGAGCCAGCAGCTGTGATTTGTGGCTGGATGTGCATTTGAGCTGTGCCTGCTGCCTCCTTTAGAAAGGGATGCTTTTGGGGAAGGACTGGCTCCCTGATGTGTGTGTGAGCAAAGCAAACTAGGGACAGAGGCAAGGAGGGAGGGTTGAGGTGCAAGTTTGTGTAGGTTTTCCCTTTCTCCCTTCAGGGAGTGCCCAGTTTCAGGCATTAGGGACAAGGGATGGAATATTTGGAAGTGTTCAAGGCCAGGCTGGACAGAGCTTGGAGAAACCTGGTCTGGTGGAAGGTGTCCCTGCCCATGGCAGGGGGTTGGGATCTTTAAAGTCCCTTTCAAGCCCAACCATTCTGTGATTCTGTGATGATTCTGTGATCAGCAGTGATGATTTTTGGGAGATGGTGCTGCCATACACTGGTGATCAGCTGATGCTTCAGCTGGCAGGGGCAGGGTGGGCAGGGATCCACTGCTTCCTCCAGAAAGCAACACCTGCTGGTTATTGTAAACAAGGTGCCCTGACAAAGGCAGGAATGATACATCTGACTCCATGTTCTCAGAAGACTAATTTATTACTTTATGATACTATAATATATAAAAGAATACTATATGATACTAAAGAATACAGAAAGGATACTCACAGAATGCTAAAAAGAATGAAAACTTGTGACTCTTTCCAAAGTCCTGACACAGCTTGGCCCTGAATGGCCAAAGAGTCAAAACAACTGACAGCAGAACCCAATGAAACAATCACCTGTGGGTAAACAATCTCCAAACAGATACAAACAATGTATATCTATCCCCTGATCCAAGTTGTTTTTATTACTGATCCTGAGTGTGATAAAGGACAATTTATAAATATTGCAATGTTTGGTCAATTGGCCTCAGGCTATAAGTGTTTCAAAATCATCTTTCAGCCATACTTTTCTCCTGGTAGTCCCATGAGAATTCACTCTATTCCCTTTCCCACCCCATCCCCTGCATTGGGACTGTTCATGTGCTGTGTAGGTGTGGCACTCATGGACATGGTTTAGTGATGGATGTGGCAGTGTTGGGTTAACAATTAGATTTGATGATCTTGAAGGTCTTTTCCAACCTAAATAATTCTGTGGTTCTGTGATTTTAAATCTCAGATGGTCTTGCCTGATACAGATCACAGGGAGAGGTGGATCAGCTGAAGGGACTGGAGGTGTGAGTGAGTTTTGTTCCAGCTCAAGCAATGAGCTAATCCTGTGACAGGCTGGTAATTCCTTTGAATTTGTCCTTCTCTCATCTTTTTAATCAGCAACAGTATGCTCACTGGCAGGAAAATCACTTAGAAATCCCTCAGTATGGGTGCCAGTCTCCTTAGTTTCACAGGCACTATATAAAAAGCACATTATACATAGGAGTCAGCCTATACTGGGTGATGGGAGTTGATATGTGTTCTCTCTGAGCTCACGTGGCACTCAAAACTGCATGTGTAGCTTGGGCTGATATATAGAATAATTGGTATAAATGGGTGCTAAAATGCAGAGAATTTTTAGGTGGAAGAACTTTTCAGCTGCTGTGCCAGGTGAAAATGAGCTGACAGTCCAGGAGGAACGGGGTTCATGTGACTGAGACACCCCTAACCTCCATTTAACCAAAAAAAGACCTGCTGGAGGTGTAGGTCAGCCAGCATCCAGGAAAATCACTGATTTGTGCCCAATTGTCCCCAGACATGACCATATGTGTCTTCATGAAAGAATAAACAGTTGTAAAACACTGAAATGCAGTTTAATGTTGCAAGTTATTTCAGTATTTTCTAAATATTGCTGCTTATCAGCTAAGCTCTGTGATTTCATCATGCCTTTGGGAGAGCAGGCATCCTTTAATGGACCTACCCTGGCTTTTGGCACTTGGCATTCACTCCAGGCTTTGCTCTGCTTGCCTTTCCTTGCACATGAGATTTCCACAGCCACTGTTCCCACTGGAACACTTGGTCAGCATCTCTGCCCTGCCTTGTTTTGATTTACTGCCCTGACAGGTGGGATTAAAAACCAGCCTGCAAGGGAAATCCTGGCTCTAGTGAAGCTAAAGGCAAAATTCCCACTGTGCTCAAAGAAATGGGATTGTGCGTGGTGGGTACAGCTGGACTTGAAGAAGGGTGGATTTGGGGTGGCACCTCTGTGGCCTAAGTTTTGTGTGTCCTTGCAGTGCCAATGGTGTCTGCTCTTCACCTTGCAGAGTTTTGAAGCTAAATATGTACAGATGTGTATCTGTATTTGCTGTTCCTGCTGTGTGAATGTTTGTCTCCTGTAATTGATGCCCTGACTGCTTGTGGATGAAGAGAGCTGTAAATTTGGTGTAGGGCTGGATGCCTTCTGTGCTTCACTTTTCCTCTGTCCTGGATAATTCCTCTCAAAGGAAGGAGGAATTTTTGCAGTTTGCTGCTGCCCTGCAAACCCAGAGCTGCTCTGATGCTGCTGCTCTGCATCCTGGCAAAGGACAGAGCTGCACAATGTGAACCTTAAGTCTTTGAGGCTTTTCTGTGCCAAGAGGTGCTTTAACAGGAAGGTGGGAGCCCAGGCATCCTAAATGACAACTGGTCTGTTTTAGAGGTGGAGAAAATATCTAAGATTATGCCTCTCTCTGTGTGTACCTCAGCAAGTCTTGCTTCTCTTTGATAAGTGTGTTTTCTGTGTAGTAAGATTCCCAGTAGCAGAGTGGTTTTGATATTTATGTCTTGTACAGTTTGCACTCAAGGCATTTGACAAGCACAAAATAACAAAAAAAAAGAAAAGGCAGAAAAAGACAGAGTGATTGACTAAAGAAGTAGGAGTCTCTCCATGTGTACAAAATAGGACAGACTAAATTAAATTAAACTTGTGATAAGCAAAAATCTTATATAACTCATGCACTAAAAGGCTCTGAGGTTCCTTTGGTGCTGTTAAAAATTGCCTTCTGAAAAATGTTTTTATTGTTCCAGAAGCCTTTAAAATGTCTCTTTATGTGTGAATATAATATGAGATTTGAGCATTACAGGTTTACTGCAACAATAAGCTGCTTGTAATTTAAAACATAAAGTTGATTGATCACGTTCTGCAGCACTAACTGGTATCGTCCACCTCTCATCATCAAGTAGGATTTGTCATTTTAACACTAATTAGTGATGACTTTCTGTATTATAAATGATGTAAAATCAGCACTCAACAAATTCTTGCTATTTTTTCCTTCAGGACTATGAGAAACATTGTTTTAAGTCTGAAGAAAACAAAAAAGAGATCCATCAGAGCATTAAAAAAGGCATAGATTAAAAAAATAATTAAAAATATCAAACTCTTTTTGCTGTCCTCTCCTGTATAAATGTGTGAAAGGTTATCAGGTGAAATGGGGAAAGGCAGGTCATTTGAAAAGCAGCAGTAGGCTGTGTTCTGCATGTCCTCCAGACACCTGTGCATGTTGATGACAACAGGACATTACTGAAGCCTCGTGCCTGGCTAAAACCATTTCCTGCTGTCAGCTCCTCTGGTGGCACCTCCTTTGCTGTCCCAAAGGTGACACTAGCCCAGCACTGCCACCTTCTCCACACAGCCACGTTCCCAAGTGCCACATCCTCGTGTTTGCTGAGCGCTTCCAGGGTTGGTGATCCCACAGCATTCCTGGGCAGCCTGCTTCCATGCCTGGCCACCCTTTTAGTGATGTTTTTCCCAATGCCCCATCTAATCAATGCCTGTGGCTGTGTGACCAGTGAAGAGGCAGCTGCAGGGACACTCAGATGTTGCAGCCACTCTGATGCCTCCATCACCCAGACTGGGTGTTGTATTTGCTGGGAATATCCTGACGAAGGCAGGAATGATGAATCTGACTCCATGTTCTCAGAAGGCTAATTTATTATTTATAATACTATATTATATTAAAGAATACTTTACTATACTAAAGGATACAGAAAAGATACTTACTAAAATGCTAAAAAAGATAATAATGAAAACTGGTGACTCTTTCCAGAGTCCCGACATGGCTTGGCCCTGATTGGCCAAAGAGTCAAAACAACTCACAGCAGAACCCACTGAAACAATCACCTGTGGGTAAACAATCTCCAAACACATTCCACATGAGCAAAACACAGGAGAAGCAAATGAGATAAGAATTGTTTTCCTTTTCTCTGAGGCTTCTCAACTTCCCAGCAGAAAAATCCTGGGTGAAGGGATTTTTTCAGAGAATGTGAATGCTACAACCAGGCACCACCCTGTTGTGGGAGCAGCTCCATTGCTTCCCTGGGCTGGCTGTGAAGGGAAAAGATTCATGGTCTGGCCTTCATTGAGTACTTTAATGCTTGCTGAGCCTCTAACCACTGTGTTGTTTTATTGTTTCTTTCAGAGCAGTAGACATAAAATAAATGTTTATTGAACCTTCGGAGGTCTGTTGATCAATAAGAGAAGCTGCACTGAAACCACAGAGGCACTGATAGCTTTTCCCTTTCCTATTCTCAGGGTTTTCTGTTTCTGTTTCAGCTGAGGCTCAAACTGTTTGTGAACTACGAGAAGGGGGTGGGGGAATAAAGTCTGATCAATTAAAATTATATTCATCCAAGTGTCTGTAAGCTTTTATCTGATGTTCCATTTTCTTTCAGGCCTGTAATTGGGAATTTGCACAGAGCAGCCTTCACTTATTTTTAATCCAGGGGAGAATGACCAATAAAAGCCTGGCTGTTTCCTTACAAAGGCTGTCAAAAGCAAGGTCAGGGGGTTGGGTTTGCTTACACCAGCTGGAGGTCTGACCTGGAAAAGAATGCAAAGATGAGATGCTTAAGTGGCAAGAAATAGCAGAGTTAAAATTACATTTTTACATTCTCAGCCCGGAGAGGGATGAGTCTCCAAAAGCTTTCTAGTATTTTCCACTGAACTATTAAAGAAATGCAGTATACAGTAAAGAAAATGAGGATGAATTTGGTTGTTTGATAGTAGTGCAGACATAGCTACACATTGCAGTCATTGCTCCTCACTGTTTAAATCCTACCTCTATTTGGATTGGTATTTAGTAAAAGAATTCCAATTATCGCATTGTCCCAGATGTATCTTGACAAGATTAGATTTGCATCCCTTGGTTCAGCCAACAGCCTTTACCTTTAGTAGCTTACATCCCTCCTCTGGAAGGATTTTCAGGAGGATTGAACAAAATTTGGGAGTTTTTAGAGGTTTTGTTAAATTTTCTCTGTTTTGACAGGAATACTGCCATGGCCTGCAGCTGTGGTGATAATGGTTTCATAAGCTGTCAACTTTTTCTAACCTTATATCCTTAAAGATATACTCAGTAAAGCACTTAATGAAGCATTATGTTGGATTTATTTGCAGTAAGGAGGTGGTCATGGTTACTTGCTATTGTAGGTGTCCTTGTGACACTCTAAATATTTAGATGGGGTGTAAATCATAATTAAACCTTGGTAAATGACAGTTCGTAGCATCTTTAATGCTTTTGCTATTTAAGGTGACTGTAACAATGTTGTTGCTTGTCTAGAAAAAAAGAGAATTTTTTTCTTTTTCAGTTTTATGTATGGTGAACTGACAGACAAGAAGACCATTGAAAAAGTCAGACAGACTTTCGACAACTATGAGTCAAACTGCTTTGAAATTCTCCTCTACAAGAAAAACAGTATGTATATATGTGTGTGTGGTGCTGGGAGTGGTAAAGCATATTGAAAGCATGCAATAGACTGAAAGAAATTTTCATTTTGACATATGGGTAAATTTGGGGCAAGATTTGGAGAGGAAACAGGCATTTTGGTTGCCACAGCTCAGGAAGAGATTTCTCTTTTAAGGCCAAGCATTCAGATTGCCAAGAATAGTAGTTGTTCCCTGCTGTCTCTAGTCTGACTCCTTCTTTCAAAAATATATTTAGTTTTGAGGATTGTTTCCCTGAAGGGAAACTGACTGGGCTAAGTGAAAAGAAATGCTGAATGAGGCTCCCCCACATCCTCAGGAAACTCCCCCATGTCTCCACAAGTGAGAAGCCAGGCCCTGGTTGTGGAGTGGCTGCTCCTGGTGCTGTTGAGATGCCTCTGTGAGTGTAAACCAACATGTGCCAGCTCTAGGGAGATCACTAAGCCTGGCACATAGCCCAGGGATTAGTTAGAACACCAGGGACTTGGTGGCTCAATGAGATTCAGGGCCTCTGTTCCTTCTTCTTGGCGGCATTGGGTTTGCAGGAAGTTGCCAGAACTGGAGATTTTCTTCATTTTTTCTTAACCATGAGCCATTCCAGCCACATTTTCTCTCCTGGGCAGCACTGGCTTGTTGATTTAGAACACATTCTGAGCACAGCCCATTCTGTTGTGTGGCCTCCTGCTGGACTTGTGCATGGTGGATCAGCAGATCTGCTGAGCTGGTGGTTGTGATTCCTGTTGTTGTCAGTAGAAATGAGCAGTCTCCTTCACTAGCACAGACCATCTTTCAAGATAGAAAGCAAAATTCAGATTAAAAGTGCTCCAGAAAATCTGGTTCCTCTCTCTGCACAGAATTAGTCCAGGTGACAGGGTTGGTGGCCAAGAGCAGCCCAAGACCAATCCTGATGGAGATGCTCTCCTCAGTCTGGCTCTCAGTACAGGGTGCAGGTGCTATGTGGGGCTGGGGATCTTTTCCCCTGGTTCACCTGCCTGGAGCCCAGAATCTGAGGCCATGCTTCCCCTGGGTGGGCTTTGATGTTGACATGGGATTGCCAGAGCTTTGCCTTTGATGCTGACATGAGATTGCCAGAGCTTTGCCTTTAATGCTGACCTGGGATTACCAGAGCTTTTCCCTGCATGCTGTGGCTGAGGGAGGGGAATGTTGTGCCTTAGGAAAGAGCTCCCTGTGCCTGACTGCCCCATTTCACTGCAAACTCACCCAAACCTTTCATGACATTGAAGGGAGCGTCCCGGACACCTCCTCTTATGCTTTACCTCTGTTTTCCCTTTTTAGACTCAATCTTCCTGTGTGGGCACTAAAATAGCAGGAAATGCTTGTAGAGTTCTCAGTTCTGCCTGCATCAAGGCATTTTAGCCAACATGTTAATTAAAGGGAGAAGCCAGAGCAGCTCTGAAGTCCAGCTGTTCCTGCAGGTGCCCAGGGGAGCCCTCCAAATGACCTCTTTTTGGTTCCTAAGCATATGGATGTGTCTGTTCCACAGATCTTCTGCTTCTCTTCCTGTTTCCTGTGCATTCCAGGTCACCTGGATGCCCCCTCACCTCAGGGGAATCTCCTGGGACAGGCTCATGTTGGGTATCTTTGCCAGTGGTGGTGCCCAGCACTGCCATGCCCTGTGTCCATGGGATTTCCAAAGTGGATCCCAGAAACCCTGTGCTTACTCCAACCCTGGCTTCTCTTAGTAAATGCTGCTCTTAGCTCTTGCTCTAGAATGGGCCTGAATTAGATGCTTTTCTATTTTATTTATGTATAAGAAGAGAAAAGTCTTCTCTTGGTGACTTTCCTGTAACAAGGCAGATGCTTTTTGCTTTGGGTTGTGGATTGTCTGCTGGAGCTTGATGATGCTGCAGAGATTTATTGAGCTGCAGTTGCCTTAATAAAATCTTCACCTTTGCCCAGATCTCCGAGCCTACACTTTCCATAAATTATGCAGGATTACAGAAGGACTTTATGGAAAATTACTCAGTATTTCTCTCTGGGTTTGAGTCACTTCCCATCCATAACATCTGTTGTCAGCTTTCTTTTCCATCACCCAGAGCCCAGAACCTCAACCCCTCACTGATGCAAACAGGCTCACTCTGGGCTCCAGCTCAGCAGCTGCTCTGCTCAGGATTTCCTTCCATTTGTCATTCTCTGAGCCTTGTGGAAGATGGTCCTTAGGAAGAAACTGCCTACTAATCCCCCAGGCTGGAAATTGGAGCAGAGGAGGAAATAAAGATTAGTTATCTCTTGGAATAAATGTACTTCTGCAGAGTGTAGGTGTGGAAAGGCTTGTGTTTATCACCTACATGAGGCTTGCAATGCCTTCAGAGCACCCTCCCACCCACATTTTTAAACTGAAGGTCCAGGTGTGTATTTTTGATAATGTGGCACAATGTGTTATTTTTTGGTGTTTTTTTTTTTTGTTTGTTTGTTTTCCTTTACCCATTCCCTTTTGCTTCTGGCCGAGGGAGATTTGGAGGTTTTCAGGTTGTTTTCCCATCCTTCTCTGCTGTGTTAGAGATGATCTTTAAGGGCTGATGTTCTCTGGCAGCATCTGTTTGACTGCTGCCTTCAACACTCCCCTTGGTGTGTTCTAACCCAGCTCGTAGCTTCCAGCTTCAAGACTTGAAAGCTTGCTACAACCCTCTTCTGCTTTGCTGCATTCCCTTATTATGCAGTCCTTACCTCTGCCCACACAGCTATTCATCAACCACATTAGGCATGCCTACATATATATATGTGTGTATATATATATATATATATGTATATGCATGCCTCTCTATATATGAATATCTATATGGTGATACTCAGGAAACATCTTTACTGCTTTTTCTCATTTTGCTGCTTCTACAGCAGTAGCCACCTTGCCTCTGTCTTTGATTTTTGTCAGCACCCTTGTGCGGGGTGTTTTGCCTACTTGCTTTCATCTCCAAGGGTACCAATGGATTCCCAGGTATAAGTGCAAATTACTTCTCCAGAAAGCTGCAGCACTCTGTTTTAGTAGTTATGAAAAGTCTTTTGTCTTGGGTTAGCAACTGGGAATTAAGATAATCAAGTAATCAGCATAATAGCTTTGGAATTATCACAAAAAGCAGTCCCACATCTCTCCCACTTCTCCAGTTTACTGGTAGTGAGTTACTGGTTTAATCTGGGTTGAATTTCAATAAACCCTTGTGGGTTTTAACCTTCCCCACAGTAATCCCAGCCCAAATGGTTTTCTCTGCCCTCTGGGACCTGTGCTGCAGCTCCTGGCACAGCTCCCGGACCTGGTGCATCAGAGGAGATTTGGGGGGGGCAGCAGTGCCCATGGGGGATAACAGTGGGCAAGGGGCTTGTATCAATGTGTCAGCTCTCAGGCAGCTCAGGAGAAAAGCCGTTCTGTCAACTGGCTGAAAGCACATCAAATCCCAGAGGTAATTATCTGGCTGTGAAGGCATTTATGGTGCAGCGAGCGTAGGTGCTCGTTTGGGAGGGAGGGACACGGAGCTCTGCTGGATGGAGAACATCTGACATTCCCAGCCCTGCAGGGGAACAGGGTTTTCTAAGAAAATTGCTCCACTGTTGTAGGATTTCACCCCTTGTGGAGCACACCTGCATGTATGTAGGGCACTGCCTTGTGTGTGTCAGCCTGGAAGCTTCAGCTCCTGAGCACCTGCAGGAGCCCTCTGCAAACAGGGGGGATTTACCAAAAGCCAAGCTGGCCACTCCAAAACCAAGGGCTCTTTTTGGCTGTTTATTTGGTGGGTGGTAGGATTTGAAAAACCCTTGGTTTCATTTCAGAAGTTAAGTAGAGAGGAGGGAGAGTGCTGGGAGAGTGCTGCACTGGGCAGGGCAGTGAGGAGGTGGAGGTGTGACCTGAAACACAAAAAAAGAAATCAAATCTGATTTGTCCTGGTAGGACATTGAGAGTCCAGCTCAGGTCCTCTTAAATAATGTAGTCATATAAAATTTGGAGCAATTCACAATATACTCCATCATTTTTGGATTTGATAGCTCCATATTATGTAAAGAGGGAATCAAAGATGCCATTCACCTGTTTTTTTCTCACCTTTCTACATTTCAGACCTCAGTTTGTGCAACATGCTGGGAAAAAACAAGAGCAAGAGGGGAAGAACAATGTGTTTTATTTCAGAATAAATTTTTATATAGCCTTCTGCCTCTGTTTATCATCTAGTTAGGTTATTGAAGCTGTAAAAATGGGAATATGTTGTTTTCCTTGGAGGAAGTAAAATTAAAAACTCTGGAAGATGTGGAAATATTGAGATACACAGCTAAACTACATGTGTGTGTTAATAATGTGTAAATGTTATGGGTTGGGGGTAGTTTGTGCTACACCACATTCCAATATTCCTTTTTTCTCTGCTCCAGGAACCCCAGTTTGGTTCTACATGCAAATTGCACCTATAAGAAATGAACATGAAAAAGTGGTTTTGTTCTTGTGCACTTTTAAGGATATCACTTTATTCAAGCAACCGATTGAAGATGATTCAACAAAAGGTAAACATGAAATACATTATTATATTTTGTGAAGCATAGAAGTAAATGCTTGAGCTCAGACCTGTCCCAGGGATGTGTCATGTCTGTGATCTGCGTCTTGAACTGAGGAAATGTTTTGTGACCTGTCAGAGTTTCAATGCCACTTTCCTAAATTATTAAAAAAAAAATAGAATAAGTTACCATGAGTGGAAATTCCCTTCCAATGTTTTTCTAGCGTCACAAGCCTTAATTTTTCTTTGTAATTCAATTCTTCATCACTACAACAGGCACTTTCTAAAAATTACACAGTTTTGAATCATTTGAATGCTGTGCTGTTTTGGGAGATCTTTCTGTTATGGGACAGGTGTCATCTTTTCAGGAAAAAATAATTCTAGCTCCTTGTGATGACATGCTGATATTTCTTCCCATTCTCCCTCTTGGAGGTGAAATGTGAGACATCCTGCTTGAGTCATTTATTGCTGCTGAGGAGTGATGACTGCATGGCAGTGGGCATTGTGCTTGTTACTTATCAGCTGCAGGGCAGGATTTTGTTGGAATGCTCTTGTCACTGAACAGCTCCTGGCCAGGCCTGCAGCCTTGCAGGAGGAATTTGTGGGGAAAGGTACAGAGGATCTGACAGCATCATCTTCTGCTTTAGTTACAAAACACATGTCTTGTGTCAGGTTTACATGTGTATTGCTTTGGGTGAAACAATGCATGCTTGCATAAAGAAGGACATTATCCACATCTCTTGGAAGTTGCCTCCTGATGATTAATTCTTTACTGTGTTTTTCCCTTCATGTTTGGAGAAGGTTTGATATCTCACTTGGAGCTGCTGTGCTCTAAGCCATCTTCTTTAGGATAAAAAGTTGGTGTCATTTGAATGCAAACAGCTTCTTAATATCTAGATAGCACTTATTGCAAGTGTTTGGATAACTGAGAAGTCAGTTTATAAAGGCAGACTTAAAATGAAAGGTTCCCTCCGAGCTAACACTAAATATGACAGGGGTTTTTTTGTCTAGAGAGTATTATCCATAAAATTATAAGATCCTGATATAGGAATACCTTCCCAGCCATCATAAACTTTATTGCCTGTACAATTTAGCTAGCAACCTGCAAATGTTCTTTATTTCACTTCATGCTCTATAATGTGGAATTCTTTTGCCTGGAAAGAATCAGAGTTTTTTAGGGTAAATGTCAGTTAATTAAAAGGACTTTATAGGTATCTGAAGGCATGGGGCTGGCTCCTTGCTGCAGTGTATGTAATACATAATGTGAGCTCATAAAGGAAAAAGCCAGTCTTTGCAAGAACCCTCTTGTAAGGTTCCCTATTTGATGCTTTCTGGGGGAACCAAGATGAATCTCACATGGAACAGCTCCCAGATCCCCCCTTTTTCCCAGCTCTGCCCCACTTCCCACAGGACTGAGTTGCACTGAGAAGTGTTGGACTGCAGCAGGACAGAGAGAACATACTGAAGGTGGCTCTCAAATGCAGAAATGATGAATGTTGTCTCCTTTGGGTTCTCAGCCTGGGGGATTCAGGCTCTGCTGCCTTCCCTGGAGAGGCAGGGATGTGCTCCAGGGGCTGAGCTCTTCCTCTCCCCATCTTGTGGCTGAGGAGCAGAGCCCATGTGGCATCCAGAACAGGAATATGTGTTCCTGTGGGAAAGAGCAGTAGCAGTGAAATGCATGACTTGTGTGCTGCATTGGAGAGCACCATTAATTAAAATGCCAGGTATTAATGATGTACATCACAAAATATTGCCCTCAGCAGCCAAGGAGGTTTGGCTCTATGTCTAAAGAGGCCTTACTTCTGTCAAAGTCATACTCTAAAACCCCCAAAACTCAAACAGAACATTGCAGAGGCAGTGCAACCACATTTCCCACATTTCTGTAAAGCACAGAATTGGAGCCTTAGGAATCTGCTTTGGTTAGAGCATTGAAGAGCATTGATCTGTTCCTCCAACAAACCTCATCATCACAAATCACTGACTCGATTTTTCTTCTGCTTCTGTATAAATTAAAGCTTGTCTTTGGCATCCTTGATATAAGGAAAACATATTCAAATATTTGCAGCACTTTACTACAGGGTGGGAAAGCAGCACTGTTTTATCACCCTGTGCGTCTCAGCTGTGTGGGTCTCTGGGATCCCACAGCACTGGGATCATAGTGGTTTTGTGTCAGACATGGTGCTATGGGAGATACATAATTCATTGTCCCTGCAGATAACATTACAATGTGCTTAGAAGCTGCCAGGCCACTTCCTTTTTGAATTATGAGATTGGTAAACATACACGTTAAAATTTAGCAGAGAATTTTTAAAGCCTTGTGGGAAAGGGTTTCAATAAAATGCTGCTGTTGAGTGCTGGGATTTGCCATTGAAAAGGCTATTTTTTTTTCCTTTTTAAAAGAAGGATATTTCTTAAGAAATTCTGCCAGGACCATGCAATACATAATACATAAGTAACTATGGTGCAGATGAGTTACTGTGTGTTACTTATGGGAGCAGTAAATTCGAGATAAAAAATTCAGCAGGAATAAAATATTGATGCCATTATGCAATAATCTCTCCATACCAAAACGTTCTGCACTGTTCAAAGGTGTGTTGCTTTGTTGTGAAGCTTCAGTAAATCATGCCATGTGAGGCATTTAAATCATGCCATTGGTTGTATCTACACTGCAGAGTGTCTGTGTGGAAATACCTGGTGGGGTTGGCATCTCTTGGAGCCCTTGCCCGGGAACAGCAGGTTTGAGGGACAGGGAGTGGTGCTGAGGATGCAGATCTGCCCAAAAGTGTCAGGCAGCTTGTTGGGTTTGGAAAACAGGACACACAAATGAAACAGTTGTCTTACTACAAAGCACATTGCCAGGGTTTGGTGGGATTTTTTTTTCCTGATGTGGGTTTAAAAACGTGTTTGCTGAGTGGAAAAAATGCAGCTGACTTCATGGGGACAAGCCCCGTGTGAGCAGAGGGAGTCAGAGAGGTCTGGGACACTGTGACAGATGGTGTGTCTCTGCTTTCTCTGCTTACCTGTGTGCTCACCACTTGCTCTGTTAATGCTGAAAGGAGGAGGAGGAGGAGGAAGGGAGGAGGAAGGAGCTTTGCTTGCCAGAGGGAGTAAAAGTAATGAAAATTTTTCCCAGGCTCACCCAGGGGGCTGTGAATTTGCTGCAGACCAGAAAGCTGTTGAAAGTTACTGGACTGTAAGCAAGACTTGAGAAAAGGGATATTTAAAAGCCACCTTCCTCTCATAAAATACAGTGACAGAGTTCAAAACCCTTGTTTTCTGAGAGGGTGCAGGCAGTTGACTGAAGATTGGACTGACTTTTCTTGTTACTTGCGCTCCAATCTGTTATTGCTGGGTGATGCGTGGGAGACCTATGATGTATGGCAATGTAACAGTGACCAAAACCTGCTGTAAAGCCATTCCTTGTAAATGGAAAATTACTTCAAAAAGTGTCTAACCAGTCAAAAGAGTCAAAACCCCCCAGCAACTCCAGCAGAAGCAGCAAAATTGATGATGGAAGGAAGGATCAGCCTCCTGGCTGAAGGAAGGATCAGCCTCCTGGTTGATGTGTTCCCTCCTGGCTGAAGGTGTCACCAGCAGCTTGGGGGTCTGGAGGGTAGAGAGAACCCCTCAATTGGTTTGAGTTTGGATTTGTAGTGCCACAGCTCCTGAGCCAGTGGCTGATGAGCTGTGGATGGAGGCAGTGTGGAAGAAGAAGAGTTGTGAGAATTCGTGCTGAGGCAGGAGGTGATGGCTGCCCTTGGTGGTCACTGGGCCAGTGCTTTATTTTCTGGTTAAGGAGCTGTGCTGTGCTTGTCTGATCTCTCCTTTCCTTCTCCTGCTCCTCTTTGCTAATGGGAGTGTTTGTCTGATGTGGATTCAGCAGCAAGCAGCAGGTCCCACCTGTGGTGGCAGAGGGCCAGATCCCCAGCTCTCTGTGCACAGCAGAGCTGGAAGTCCATTACAAGCATATGAAAGATCCTATTATGTATTTTCTTTAGGTGAATAAAACCCAAAGGATCTTTTTTTTTTTTTTTTTTTAATGTTTGTACCATTGTCAGGTCACAGTTGGATGCTTTTATCAGCTTGCTGAGCTTTTATTCTGTCTTTACCCAATGGCCTTTTAAAAACATCTGAAGACTTTCAATTCCTCCAAAGACACACAGTGGTAATAATCTTCTGTTTATTTGTCAGGAAAAAAATTAGGCCATTTTTCTGGGCCCTAACTATTAGAAGGGTGAATGGAGCCACTTAAAATGTTAACACCATTTGAAGCCAGGATTGCTGTAGAGTCTATGGAACAAAAAGTTTAAGTATAGAAAAAAAAAAAGAAGCCAGCAATTTTTGTTAATAGGGGAGTTTCACCTAGTTGAGCAATGGTTTTATTCCCTTTGTTATCATCAGTGAAGAAAAAAACTGGCCTCTATGTAAACTTAGAATTTTTTGTTGGCTGGGATTCTCAGTGGTTATCTGGAGTCTCTGTGGAGTGAAACATCAGGCTTGTCACTTCTGCAGTGATGGGGAAGTTCTAGTGAATAATGATGGGATGCAGAATCAGGATGCAAAGTTGTGTTAATGAGCCCCCTACAACTCAGGACAGTGTATTGTTAACAGATGGGATCAGGAAATGGCACAGCAGGATCCTGAAGTTGCCTTTTTTTTTTTCTTTTCCCTTTTCACTTGCTAGAGCCAGACTCTGATAATCAAGTCTGTCTGGGACAATGCTGTAATGCTTCCAGTGATATAACTCTTTATGGTTATATAACTCTATATAATGATACAACTCTATCTCAGAGTGTGACAGGGCTATAAAAAGTGTAGTAGTTGCAGAAATATGCACTTATGGCTTGCTAATCCTTGCTAAGCCTATAATTCTGATCCTTTTTTATCTTTAATAAGTGCAAGTTATTAAGCATATATAACTAGTTGCACATGGGAACCTTTTTTTTTCCTTGAGGGGGTATCCATCCTAGTGATAATAGAAGAAGTGGGTGGAGGGATTAGAGCATGAAA